ATCAAGAGGAAAAAACTGTAAACATCAACAACCCAACAGAACTTTCTAGGAGTGATTTTCAAATTAATTCTTCTGGCTGTAGAGGATGGCAGAGAGACAATAAAGCTGGCTGTCCCTAGAAAAACATAAGGGTTACCAAAACTTACAATGGCACTAAGGATCATTTTGAGTTAATCTTTTCTTTGGTGATAGTCTCTAAGGTTATGTCTATACTGCACACTGATTTTGAAATAAGAGTGAGAGTCTGCACAGCAAACCCATTATTTCAAAATAATTTTGAAACAACGGGCTTCTTACTCCAACTTCTGTAACCCTCATTTTACGAGGAGTACGGGAAGTCGAAGGAAGAGTGTTCTTCCTTCGACTTCCTTCTATATATACACAGCACCAAAAGTCAAGTTAAGCCATTTCGACTTTAGCTGTGCAATTAACGTAGCTCAAGTTGCGTAACTCGACTTTAGTCCACAGTGTAGACATAGCCTAAGGGACTGGGGGGAGGTAGAGAGGTTATTTAGTTTCCAAAGGTTTAGTATTAGCTATAAATTTGTAACTGATGGAATAAAAAAAAAACCAGAAAGACACTGTTTTAATGGGCAATAATGATGTGTGCTACTTGCCTTTTGGACTTTCAGGGTTAGCTCATGGTCTGAACTATATACCCATGCAGGGCTCCAAGAGGGAAGAATTCCTTAAAGTCTTAAACAAGCTACTTGGATCTGGATATGCAGGAGTAAGTAAGTAGGTGGTAGGGATGTAAGTGACTTGTGGAGTAGTTGACTACTAGCATTCCACCTTCTCCCCTGCCTCTGTATCAGAGGCAGCAAGTGTGGGAGGCGGGGGGTAAGCTGGAGCTGGAGCTGGAGCTGGAGCTGGAGCTGGAGGAAGCCAGCTACTCCCTTTCCCCCTGCATTGTCTCTGCAGTGCCACCTGCCCCTCCCACGCTGCTGTCGAAGGGAGGGGGACAAGGGAGGCTTCCACAAAACAGCCTCTGTCCACAGTGGGCCCAGGCTCACTGCGAACAGGGGCTGTGCCGCATCCTGTGGAATAGCCCCTGTCCGCACTGTGTCTCAATTTGCAACCAGGGAAAAGTCTGGATAGTTTTGTATCCTTTTCTTACAATAACACCAAAGCAAAAAAACCCATAGGTTGCATTATTTAAATCTTCAGATTTCTCCCAATTGAATGGCGCATACAGAAACCATTTTGTTGGCTTCTCTTCGCCTAAAACAGTCATGGAAAACCTGTGAGTTCATTTTAAAATAATTCACTCATGATCTGTGAAATGCTTTTACAAAGTGTCAGAAAACTTCTCACTTAATCATATGCTGACAATAAAGGGAACATTCTCTTTTCTAGTGCTGATAATGTAATAAGGCAGGCTACAGTTCTTACAAAAATGTGCACTCTCTACAGTCTCAAAAATGGGTGATCTTTTCAGATCCTCCTGGCATTATACCACTCCAATTTTACATAATATGTATATTGAAAAAAATAAATTTTAAAGTATCCATCCATTCCCAAAATTGACAGCAACTGTTTTGGAGTGTTCACTGTAAGACTGGACTCCTTTCCAGACTAAGGGTTCTCAGACTTACACTACAGTGCTTGCATCTGTGGACAAAAGAAGTTTCTTCACCCTATCAATATCACCAAATCACAGCCATACAGCAGATGCGATGGAGTTAGGCTCTGCCTGCTCAGGCTTCCCAATAAGGGCCACATCAAATCCTTAGAAGCTCAGATACTCAGTAGCATAATGGGAAGTAGTAACTCTCTACCCATCGTTCCTGTGAAGCTTCACCAGCCGTCAGGTAAGTGAGCCCTGTGGGCCCACAGTATCACCACAGCCATCCCCAAACAGCAAGGCATGGATGGACAGATGCCACACCTCCAAGCAGCACTGTGAGTCAGCATTGTTTGGGTAGTTACCTGTTATTAGTATGGGTCAGTGGCAGATTGGTGTAAGAGGTGAGCAAGGCAAGAGTCTTTCTTCTATGTATTATGATTCTCACTAACTCCATTTGCAATTCTGTCCGATTCAGTCTTCCTTCTATGTATTATGATTCTCACTAACTCCATTTGCAATTCTGTCCGATTCCAGAGCAGTTTCTACATCCAGGTAAGGAGAGTTGTTTTTGATTTTAGAAAGATAATCCTGATATGAATTGGATTAATGATGCACATCCACGTGGCTGTAGGAATGCAAGGTCCCCAAACATACACCCTCCCTCTATGCATTCGTTACAATTGCATTATATCTGCTCCCGCAACTGCCAAGCAACGCACTAGGCTTTGTGGGTAGATGGACTTGGGCTCCAACCCCAGTCAGAACCTGGGACTGTGAGAGGTCATCAAGTCCAGTCCTCCTTCCTCATGGCAGGACCAAATACTGTCTAGACCATCCCTGATAGACATTTATCTAACCTACTCTTAGATATCCCACAGCTTGGTATCAACTGCAAACTTAATAAGCGTACTTTCTATGCCAATATCTAAATCATTGCTGAAGATATTGAACAGATATTGAAAATTCAAATAGATTCCTTAAGCTATCCAAATCTATTAGCTGTCCCATTTGTAGGAAGGGAATCCTAGAACAAGCACAAAGGACTAGCCAAACTGCGAAGGAGTAAATGTCAAACATAAATTCTGTATTTGTCTCATGGAATGAACAGCCAGAGGAAAGTTTATAATAGGCCAGCTGACAGTAGGTTATTCAGCGTTTTTCCCACATCATGCCCTACTCAAGTCTCCACAGAGGAGGTGCGAAGGAAGGGATTTGAATATCTTTCATATTGAATGAAAAACTCCTTCTAATCACATGAGGAAGCATTAAAAGACCACAGAAGACAAGCTGATCCCCAGACACACATAATCAGATCCTGGAAAGGCCCATTAGCAGGGCATAGTTCAAATGCATTTTCCCCCTTTCCTGCTTTGAGTCACAAACTGTTGTCAATCTGCTTCTAAGAGCACCTTGTGTTAGAAAGCAGATATTACTCAGAAGGTGCGCTGCAAATATCAGGGTGGAGTGCTCTCCAGGTGAGAACAAAGGGTGGCGCTCATGAGTTTCACTGGTCACGCAAGAGCGCAAAGGAACTATTAGCAACCTATGGGCCAGACGCTGAGGTGACAATGTAAAACTTTAGACCCAGAACCATTCAAGAAGAGGGTGATTCTCTGTTACATTGCCTTCAACAGGTTCAGGGTGGTTTAATGACTAGCATGCTGGAATAGGATGCAGGAGACGAGCATTTAAATTCCAGTTTTGTGCCTGATTTTCTGGATGACTGGCCAAATCACTTCAATGTCCCATGCCTCAGTTTCTCCATCTGCAAAATAGGGATAGTGATACTGTTCTTCTTTGTAAAGTGCACTAAGGAAAGGTGGAAGAGCTCTACACGAGTTAGATACTACAGACATTTAAACCTATGCAAAAAAATCACAAAGTGCAAAGCAGTAAAGAATCAGACCTAGGAACTAAGCAGTGTTGCTAGCTCTCTCATTATTTTATCAGGCGTCATTATATGTGGTGTTTTTCTTCCAGCTCTAGCTCCCCTAGTCAAGTGTTTTCATGCGCATCTCAGCTTTCACTCAGAAAAAGAAAGTAAGTGGCCCTCCCTCCTGGCTGTGGAGAGACGCTTGATAGCGTGCTTTGGAGACACTCTAAAAGCTCAAACCCTAGAAGGCAAATAAAGTCACTCAAGAAATTATAATAAACATCTCCAATTTGTAGACTAATGTCATGATTGTTTAGGAGGACTGGGGCCTGATTCACAAAATTTTAACACTACACTGTGGCAGTCAAGCTACGAATGTCTATTAAAACTCCATCGCCAAAATCTCAGGGACAGTATCCCTTAGCTGCTCTTTGGTCTTGCTAGTGGATCAGCTCATGCCTAATCACTGTATATTACAAAATCATACTGACCCAAAACATTTGTAACTTTGGGGGAGGGGAAGGGAATGAATAAACATTTACGTTAGCACCCCACTGAAGATGTCTGACTTCCAAGTAAATTCCTGAAGAATGTAACTGTTGGCCATTGCGCTAGACTTCCCTGACAACATCACCTTTATTTGACCAACTGTATGAGGTCAGTGCCAGGCTGTCCAGTTACTAGGCATCTAACTGTTACTTTCTGACAATCATTTATAGAACTCCGTGTTTTAAAAATACCAAGTGGGTTGTTGACTGGTTGAGCACAGAAAGCTATTGCTCTAGCCCATGTAACCCATTCCTTTTTTCACTGGTTATGAAAAGGGCAGACCTAGCAGCTTTAGTGGATTAAAGTTTTTTCAAGAGAAGGGGTCTGACACAAGAAGCCTCAGCACAAGCACAGCCCCAGACCTTTCCTCAAACCTTTGTTCCAAGGAAGGTTTCCACCTGCCTCTTCCTTCAGTCTTTGGCTTCTTTGAGACTCCCAACAAGGAGGTCAATTGGTGTCAATTTATGGCAGTTTTTCTACCCCATTGGTCCCTTTGGAACTATACTTATTTCACAGAGGCCACAAAGCGATCAGAAGTTACCGGTAACTATTTTCAGTCACTGCCAATCTGGAGTGAAACTGAACTGCTGACAGGGAGGTGAAAGGCCCTGTTTATCCTATTATCCATGCCTTGAGCTATTCACTCTCCTGCAGCTCACGCATGCCTCCTATTTTTAATAATAATTGCTGATTACACAATGACTAGGAGATAACTGAAGGTTTGTGAATTGGAAGGTGGAAAATTCTCAATTAGACATCTGTGTTGTCAATGAATACATGATGAACTACTGGTATTTTCTGAAACAAAAGACAGGACTATGTAGTACTTTAAAGACTAACAAGATGGTTTATTAGGTGATGAGCTTTCGTGGGCCAGATCCAGTTCCTCAGATCAAATAGTGGAAGAAAATTGTCACAACCACATATACCAAAGGATACAATTAAAAAAAAAATGAACATGAAAAGCCCACGAAAGCTCATCACCTAATAAACCATTTTGTTAGTCTTTAAAGTGCTACATAGTCCTGTTTTTTGTTTCAGCTACACCAGACTAATACGGCTACATTTCTATTGGTATTTTCTGGACTTTCATATCAGGAAAAAAGGGGTCAGCTGAAAAATAAATTATAAAGAGACTGTCACCCTTAATTGCTGGGATTAAATGTCAGACTTGCTAGTTGATTATTGGTCTGTCCCTTAATATATTTCCTTAATATTATTAACAGTTAATAATCTTCAGTAGGTTGTAATAATTAACAGTTTCCAAATGTGGCAGGATGGTAATGTTCTTTATTGGGACACAAAACAATTAATTGGGGAGGGGGGGATATTTTAGAAAAATTTGAGGAATCTGTTTATTACAAATTTATTTTTCTATTCAGTATTTTAAAGGAAAGTCTCATTGAAATTGATTATGTAATCCCAGCAGGTTTCCCCTAAAAAACAAATATCCATATAATGCAAATACTCAGTTACAGGGCTTAAGAAAAGACATTTATTGCCAGGCAATTAAACTGCATTACTATCTATCTTTAGCTGTACTGTATTTGTTTTCTTTAATAGAACATACTTTCCTATACTTTCTCAAAAATCACAACTGTATTAATTATCTATAGCAAATGCATCTTCTTCTACTAATGATAACTCTAGTGTATTATCATTTGTGCTGGATTTCATTCTAAAATTGAAAGAACCGTACAGCTTTGCAGATTCCTGGGAGGATGCAAACCTATTCCTCCTGTACAACTCCCCTTTCCACATAGACATCATTAATAAACTGGACAGCACCACACCCCCCAGAGTTAAGAGACACAACCCAGCAATCACACACCTATCCAAGTGAGCCCCAATTCTAGCGCTCTCATTCTCCAGTCGCTCCATCTCCCTGGCTGCTACAGTGTTAGGATCCACAGTCACCTCTCTGGGCACCACATAGGAAATAATAACTAGCAAAATCCCACTAACCAGGAACAAGATGGCACTAATGAAGCCATAGTCTATAGATTTTCCTGAAGCAGCTTCTGAGCCAGTATCATCATCTTCCTCAGAGATCAGGGAGGTGGGATCATGTGCCCATTCAGGTGGAACCTCTACAGGAGCTAAGCTGGGACCTCTACAGGAGCTAAGCTGGGATGGGTGAACCTGACAGCAACTTTTCACAGGAGAAGAGAGGTTTCTCATATGCTCCACGTTGACATTTTCATCCACATATGTAAAGGATGTCTCTAGTGCCTGGGCACAGCAGCAAGCTCTCTTCTTCTCTGCTTCCTCTTCTCCATCCAAGCAAGCTGGCTGGCAGCAGGGCTGGGTGCTGCTTGATGCTGCCGCATGCTCCTGGGATAAGGAGGGCACAGGAGTGGAGGAAAGGAGTGCCTGGCTGGGACCTGCTATAGCTGTCCTTTGTGTGGGCTTGTAGTGCTTATCGCAGCAGAGAGCTGCCACCGCAGCTGCTGTTCTAGCCCCCATATCGCCCCCATCACTCTGCTGCTGTTCACAGAGAGGGGCTTGCAAACTCCAGTCCACATTGTTGCAGAGATCTGATTGCCTACTTTTCTTGGTGAGGTACAGAAGCTCCATACAAGCCATCAGAACTCCTCTCAAGCAGCCCTGGACTTCTAATCTAAGCCATGCTTCAGGAAACTGTCAATAATGCAATCAAGCGAGATCATGGTACACGAGCTGTTGCCTCAGAGAAATCTTCTATCCTCTAACCAATATTTTGCTAGGGATGTGGCTTGTTTCAGCTGCTAAATGATTAAACAAATTCCCTCTGACATGTATGTCTTTTCAGTCTGCAGATAAAACAGCAAGAGGAAAAATAAACACATCTCATGATGCATTAATAAACGACCAGGAAAGTAACAAACACATAATGTTATTTTCCCTCTCACAACTGTTCAAGGGGAAAATAGCAAACGCGATTGTTTTAATCAAGCATTTAAAACTGCAATCCTCTTGCAGATACAAAATCTATTAGGGACTCTAATCAACCTTTGACACCAATATCCAATTAAGACAATAAGCCATCTAAAATAAAAAAGGACAATTACAGTTACCACCTATAAAAAGTCAGCGTGCAGACTTATTTTATTCATAAAAAGTGAACAACTTTTCTTTTCTTTTTTCAGGAAGCCTAAATTCAGATTCACTGAGTAATTAGAAAGATACAGGCAAATCCCATGTAGCTCAGTAATCCACGATCTATATTCTCTGGTGGAAATCTGATAATCCCAAGGGGAAAAGCAGTGCTTTCCTACAGCAGATCTCCAGTTTGATTAAGAGCATTTGGAATGAAATTATGCCTCAAACTTTTCTTTTCTTTTTTCAGGAAGCCTAAATTCAGATTCACTGAGTAATTAGAAAGATACAGGCAAATCCCATGTAGCTCAGTAATCCACGATCTATATTCTCTGGTGGAAATCTGATAATCCCAAGGGGAAAAGCAGTGCTTTCCTACAGCAGATCTCCAGTTTGATTAAGAGCATTTGGAATGAAATTATGCCTCAAAGACGGATGTGACTTCTCCATCTTCAATTAATTCATTATACGGGAGGGGGGGGGGGGAGAACTTGAAGCCAAATACCCTGCGTGTTAAAGAAATTTCTGCTACAGACTAAATCTATATATGCTTTTTTTAAAAAAAATCTCTAGTGGACAGAGCTCAATCATCGAGCTTTGCAATACCCAAGCAGGAATCTGCTGAGTTGTAAAACACAAGCTACATAATCACAAAGAGTATTTGGATGCAAGTATATTTGTGTGACACACCTGATAAAGGATTAAAGAACATCTTTTTTAGATGCACTGCCCTTTAGGGTTTTAATTGCCAAGTGCAGACATGATAACCCAGCCCTACTGGACAGGCAACAGCTCCTATTCCCTACAGAATGCCCATGGTGCCTGCACACATACCTCGCTCTCACGTTTGCTTCCATTCGGAGGATGATGGTTGAATTTCCTAGGCTACTCTATGAAAGTCTAATAGAGAAGCACTTGTAGCCCTCCACGCTCCGCCGTCCTGCTACCACTGCCGGAGGGTGGGCGGGGGGAGAAGCGGAGAGAATGTGCCGGCTGGGAGGGGCACCCAGACTGCCTTCTGGGAGATGTAGTCTTTACGCAGAGGGATTCTTCTGTCTGCCTGCAGTGAGGCAGGAGGGAATGATCTCACTCCGCCTTGTTTAAGTACAAACAACGAGCAGCTTTTCCCGCTGTTCTCCAAAATGTTCCCCTAGGTTTCAGTGAGGGGTAGGGGGTCTTCCACTCACCCCATAGCAGTATTACCAAGGTCCCAGCAAACATGACTCAGGGCCTCAAAATGTATTGAGATTGGTTTTTAAAAAATCATGAGATTTAAAATAGTGTTTACCATATTTGAACTTTCCAAAAAGAGGACACGCCTGAGAGGGAGTGTATCTGTATCAGTGTCTACCAAATCACATTGTTGTAATGTGTACACTATAGAACACACTAATGCAACGTGAGTTGGTAGATCACAAATACAGAGACAGTCACTCTCAGGAGTGTCCTTTTTTTTTTTTTTTTTTTTTTTTGAAAGTTGAACTACGGTAACCCTAGGGTTGCCAGGTGTCTGGTTTTGAATCGGTCAGTCTAGTAGCTGAGCTTTCTGTTTGGGAAACCAATTGATAAAAAATATAAATGAGAAAATATGTCCAGTATAAGATGTAATGTAGATTGTGATATAATGTCAAGTGTGTCCGGTATTTTTGTTGAAACCATCTGGCAACCCTAGGTAACCCTAATTTAAAATAAAGTAAATGGTGAGTTCCTTTCGAGCCATTGGGATGCATGTTTCAAGCTTTTTTCCACAACTGGGAAGGTACAAAGGACTCTGGGAGCTGAAACGTTAAGAAAAACAGCAAATATAAGAGGACTCATGATAAAATCGCAAGAGTTGGGGATGTCCTGACAGACTTGGTCACCTTTTGGTTACAGTAAAGGACAGTCCCATGCATTGTGACCACCCATCATCCACCTACCTGTATATGTATTATTATTCTCTAGAACAGGGATAGAGGAAAACATGCCTTTCTGAGGCACAGTTAGAGGTGAAAGTAAACAGGAGTGCCCTGGTGCGCAGCTCTAGCAGGAGCTGACTGAGCTGTGGCAAAAGCCAGTCAAGGAGCTATTTAAATTGCTGGCAAGACCCAGGTTGCAAAAGGATAGTACCTGTAAGAAATTTTAAGTTATTGTTGCCACTGGGTACAGTTCCTTCCTTGTGTCCTTACACAGAGCATCTCCACCATTCTATACACAGGTTATAAGGCAATCCTGCCCTTGGTGTTGTTTCTTGTTCCCACTTTGGTGGCCATGGTTAGTAAAGGGTTCAGAGCTTTTTCTTTTCTTTTCTTTTCTTTTCTTTTCTTTTCTTTTCTTTTAGAATATAAATTAGTGTTGTGAAAGATCTGAAGTGTGGAGGTGGAAAGCAGAATGCATAGCAACACATATTTTTCAAACACAAACACAGCTGATCAGGAGATTAATCAAGCCAGGATGGGAAGTAAGCATCATTTATCACACAGAAAGGACAATGGAGAGTAAGAGACAAGACCAATGGACATATAATGAGATTTATGATGGAAGCTCAATAAAAATCTGGATTAAAAAAATTCTGCTTTAAAGAGTTAACTGGGCCTGGCTGTAGGAATATACTACTGCATCAGAACGCAATAGACTGACCACCCAAAGGGCTGGCTTCTCCATGCTGGCCAGACTGTGCTTAGAACAGGACTGGAGAGATGGAATGTATATGTGACCTGCACAGCTCTGATAATCTTCTCATTGATTGGTGCCTGACCATCTCTGGTGTAAATCAGAGAAACTCTCTGGTGTATTGAACATTATACTGAAATGAGACGTTATCACTTTTATTTGTAAGAGGTTTCCTGGTCTTGATAGCTCTACGATCTCAGTCTTTCAAGCAGTCCGGCTGCAGAGAACCAGCCTAAAGTAAGGGTGGGGTGAGTTGTGCCTCTCTGCTTTAAGGAGCAATCTGCTGCGTCTTCCTTTGTTCAGGGGCCCTTCTGTGTTATCATTCTGTCTTACAAAAATACAATAGTGCTGCTGTTGTGCTCGTGTGGAAAGGAACACATGTGAATCACCAGTCAGAGGCAACAATGAACTCTTTTGTTTTGTTTTTTGTCAGGAAAGGAAAACCACAGATGAACTGCCCCCTAGAAAGGAGGGAGCTGAACTGAATTCTGAGCCAATGTCTTCCTCAACAACTTGAGGTTACTAACAGCCACACCCTGGTGAGTGCATTCCCCTATATAAAACTACAGCACTCCCCACTTATCACCCTAGGCAATATACTCATCTAGCCATAACTCCCCATGTACACTTATCACCCTAGGCAATATACTCATCTAGCCATCCTGGGTGTTCTCCCCTGCGCTGTGGTATATCTATGTCAGGACAGGAGTCTTCAGTGACTGATATTCATCATGAATCCTGGGGAGTCAGGAGTGTTGTCCCCTTTGAGCAGCATCTCCGATGAGCTTGTAGTGTCAGAGCCTGGAGGCAGTACCGATAATGAAGAAATGATGGTTGGCTCTGGAAGATTCCTGTCTGAAGTCTCTCTGGAATAACATTACTCGGAGAACAGTATCTCCTCAGCTGGTTGACATGGTGATGCCAAACTTATCAGTTGAACCTTACACAGGATGAACCCTTGATGATTGTTGAAGTAAATGACCTTGGTCCAGCTCTGTAACTTCTAGCAAATTTCTTGTGATGTGACGGAAAGCATTGTACATGATGATGGAGGAATCTGAAGCCTGATTCTGCTTGTGTTGCAATTTCCAAGATAGGTTGGGGTAGAGACATTCGAGGCATGTCTTAAGACATTGTACCATATGGCGCCCGCCTGGGGTAGCTCTGGTAGTTGGGCATGGAGTAACATGTTGAGTAATGAGGAACCTGGCAAGCCTTGTCACAGCCAGTTTCCTTTGATGAGACTCGTTATGACATCTTTGGTTATCTGCACCATCCATTTGCCTGACCATAGGCCTGGGACGGTATGGTGCAATGGTGGCAGCTTGAATGAGATTGTTTTTGGTGAACTCCTGGAACCCATCAGAAGTGAAAGCAGTTTTGTTAGAAATGAAAGTGCAGTGCCTGGCCTGATAACGGATGAGTTGCAAACAGCTGACACAGAGCTCTGATTATTTTAGTCGGCCTGGGTGAATCATAGAATACTAGGACTGGAAAGGACCTCGAGAGGTCATCGAGTCCAGTCCCCTGCTCTCATGGCAGGACCAAATACTGTCTAGACCATTCCTGATAGACATTTATCTAACCTACTCTTAAATATCTCCACAGATGGAGATTCCACAACCTCCCTGGGCAATTTATTCCAGTGTTTGACTACCCTGACAGTTAGGAACTTTTTCCTAATGTTCAACCTAAACCTCCCTTGCTGCACTTTAAGCCCATTGCTTCTTGTTCTATCCTCAGAGGCCAAGATGAACAAGTTTTCTCCCTCCTTCTTATGACACCCTTTTAGATACCTGAAAACTGCTATCATGTCCCCCCTCAATCTTCTCTTTTCTAATCTAAACAAACCCAATTCTTTCAGCCTTCCCTCATAGATCATGTTCTCTAGACCTTTAATCATTCTCATTGCTCTTCTCTGGACCCTCTCCAATTTCTCCACATCTTTCTTGAAATGCGGTGCCCAGAACTGAACACAATACTCCAATTGAGGCCTAACCAGCGTAG